AGGGATTTCTTGCTGAAGAAAAGGATGTTGGCTGTTTGGATATTGAATAGTTTAATAATCTGCCGAACAATCATCAAACAGAATATTATCATTGGAATTGCTTTGAACATTATTACATGAGCGGTGTTTTGCATTAAAATCATCAATAATAAAAAAATGAGACCTACAATGGGTATGTTTCTGAAGGTCACCCTTGAGAAAATTCCTTTTGCTGGCCTACGCATTGGAATGGCAAATAGGCAGCTATAAACGTAAGTTGTCCAATTTTTTTTTCTACAGAAACTACCAAAGTTTCAAAAACTTTGGTTTCAAATGAAGAAAGAATTGTATGTTTGTTCGTCTATGAACATTTGAGTCCCTTTTAACCTTATGATCAGGTTTAAGTAACGTTTCAGTTATAACGCACGTTATGAACTCTCAAAAAGTTAAATAGCTCGTCTTCATTATCTTTAAGATATCGAGCATTCCAATTCAAAATATTTAATGATTTAAAATTCATCGATCCAATTTCAAAGTCAAAACGATATTGTTCGAAAATTTTACTCCAGTTTGAATAGCATCAAACATGGAGTTAGAGTTAAGCATACCAGATTTAAGCATACCAGTAATCATGTACCTACGGGTCCGAATGTAGAATTTGTTCCTCGCTGACCGTTGTTAACAGCAGAGGAATTTGTACCTGGTCGGAAACGTGGAGCGTTTCCTACCTGTCGTTTAGAACGAGATTGTAGGATCGCTTTGCGAGACTTACATTCCCAAAAATTGGATTTGTGGATTTCACCACAATGTGAACATTTAAATTTCTTAGGATCTTCCTTCACAGGACAGTCGTCCTTTTCGGAGAGGAATCACCAAAATTCATGCATTTATCTGGAATGTAGCAATTTTTTAATCCCGTGACCCCATCCCTTCCTCTTACGGCACTGGGTGAGGTTTTGGAAATTTCCTCCAGTCTTCCTGAAGTGCTCCCACTTCACTCAGACATGGAGCATAAGGCTAGCTTTTTCTAAGGCCTTAAGGTTGTTTAGTACACTGGACTTGAAGTGAACTAAATAAAAATCATTAGAAATCCCGTTGCGTGAATCGCCAGGACGGGATTTCATTTTTATTTCGATTACTTGGAGTGGCACAACTCCAAGTAATTTTGCCAGTTTATCTTTGATCAGATCCAGGGATTCACCACTGGGCACACCTTTCATGACAACCAGGAACACACATTCAGTTTTGGTGTCGTAAGTCATAAATTGATGCTGCTTCTCAGTGAAATACTTGGGAAGGCATTTAAATCCGTCCAAGATTTCAGCCAATATACGGTATTCACCTCAACGTCCAATTTGTAGTGAAAACTTAACTTTCACGAAGTTCAAACGTTCCATGCGAAAGCATGGAAATCGGAAGTGGTTATCACAATAGGGGGAATCTTTTCCTTCTTGGCATTAAGTTGGGAAAGATTATTAGAATTTTTCCTGGATGATGGATCATTCTCATGATCCATGAGCATATCAAATTGATTGCTTAAATTAATTTCATCAGAAGGGGGATCAAGAGATTGCCCTTTTCTTTGCACTTTTTAGGCGGCAGAACCAAGTTTCTCCAAATAGACTTCCAAGCAGATTATTATTAGAATCCAAAGAATCGAAGAGGGATTTCCGAAGTCGATGGTCAAGCAGGATTACCTAGGGCAGGGTCCAATTAACGATCGAAAAGGGATAAGAATCAAACAAGGTAAAATTGTTACAGATTGAGCACTGAAAAGTAATGTTTAAATTTTGTGTTGCTTTAGGATGCAGTAACACTTCCTTCAGGAGAAAACAAATAGATCCGCACGGCGAGAGAGCACGATGCGGACTGTCCACTGTGCATTGTTCTTGCTTTACAAAGAGCAAGCGTGAATAATATTTTGTTCGTCCTGGATTGGTTATTTATTCACTATGTATGTAATCCAGCCAATGTCTTGGTATGTTGTACGAAACATTTCAGCAAGTGTAGGATTTAGGCCATTTCTTGGAAGGAATAGTCCAGCTTTTGACACATACCGGATCACCTTTCCGGATATTTATAGTGAATTCGTTTATTATGCGAAACCGAACTTTTTGTCAATGCGAACCTCAACCTGAGCTGGGTTTTAAACACAAACGATCAGAAAAAAAGCAGACCCAATCTTGATACCCGATCCAGGTTGGAACTGAATAATAAACGAATTCGCTATTAATTTCATCCGATCGCTGTTTAAAAGTTTTTGAAGCATTCGATGACTCGAGAAACAGCAGGTTTTTGCTAGACCGATTGTAGATGCACAAGATGTTTTTGCGCATGTGCTGCTGATTCGATGCCATTTATGTTGCCACCGAATAACACGATTCTTAATGAATATCAGTAATATACTTTTCGAGTGGTTGAGTAGTAAGCAAGACCGATTTCTCACCCCAGTGTGTCTAGGTTCAACCACAGTCGACGTGTCGGGATTTGTATAGGCAAAACAAATCTCTAGTCACAACTTCCTTCAGAAAGGAAGTAAAGCCGTTGGTCCCGGCCCATGTGTTGATGGGTTTATTGGCTTCCAGGTGTGGAAGTCACCTTCATGGCACTCAATTGCCGTCGATGATTAGTCACCAATTGGCAATCAACGCTCGATTTCCGAACAGAAAACGACGTCCAAAAAAAAAAAACAATACGTGTTGAAATAGCCTTTAGTGAATTTTTACATGTTCGTGCTACAAATTTAACTCATTTGATGTAGACACCTATTATTTTGAGATTTTGGTTCAAATATTCCTCCAGTACACTGTGTGATGTCAAATCTATGAGTTATTTATAAGCTGTATTGCTGATATCACCCATGTGGCTCTTTTGGATGGCAAAAGTAGCAATTGGGAGGTTTTTGAAAATCATATCCATGGTCTGATGAGCTTCATATACGCCATTATGTTTCCGTAGGATGTTGATCGTGGTATTTCTTAAAGACGAGTGTGTTGTATTTGGACGTTGAATCGGGTTGATCTGCAAATTGGTTTACATCAGCTGCTTGCACTACTCAGTACAGTAATCCCTCAATTTATAAGATGGGTGGTACCGTTCACCCCCTGTGTTTCGGCTATTCTTCAACCCATTATGTTGATTTTTGTTATGTGATTATTATCAACAATGAACTAGTCATCTACAGAAAATCTGCTCAGTCGATTGAAGGACAGACGTTAAATAGCGGTGGGTGGATGCACGTTGAAGCGCTTTACACCGACTTCAGTAAACCATTTGACCGCATCGATATACCATTGTTAATCCTCAAATTGCACAAAATAGGAATGGAGCCTGGACTTTTGAATTGGCTTCACATCGTAAACAAAAAGGTTGGTTTTCAAAATAAGATTCCAGAACCAATTTCAGTCTCCTCTGGGGTAACCCAGGGTTCTGATTTAGGCCCACTGCTTTTTATTTTGTACTTAAACGACATTTCCTACATAGGGGAAATGCAGGTAATGTCGGCCTAAGTGTCCCTAATTTGGGCCCATACATAAATTCAGCAATCAACTAAATTTTCAATAGCAACCAAAAATATCCATTAGTAACGTCCCAATAACGCGTTCATTTAGATAAAATTGATAAATAGCAGACTTTTAGCGATGGGCCCAAATTAGGGACATGTAGGCCGACATTACCTACATTTCCCCTACTTAAAAAATAAGACTGCTTAAAAAGGCAGACGACATGGAACTCTTCATGGAAACAAGTAATTTTAGCGATGCAGAAGAATTCCAGAATTAAATCAATATATTCAACATCTGGTGTAGTAAAAGTCTACTTCAACTGCAGGTAAAAACATGTAGCTAAAACAGAATATAAATTATGCATAGTATGTAAGTAAACATTGTAACAATCATTGCATGTAGTCTACATTGGCTTGACGAAATGAATAAATATATAAATATATGGTATCACACACCGCATAAAAGGAGGGATTATTGTATTGGACAGAGTGGAAGGTGGTAGAATTGGCACTGATGTTTTCATGCGGTAGAATTTAACCATATTTTTTCCATGAATGTGATACAGATAAATTGAAATCCGCTGAAGTTTATCAGTAAATCAATCCACTTTTAGTAACGGGCTCATAATATTCCATATTCTTAAGCCAGGAACATAAAGCGATAAGGATATTCCGCAGTGCCAGGGAGCCATCTATTAATTTCATGATAAATCATGATTAATTAATATCACTTGCATATAAATATTACAAGTTCACAAGTTTTCTAACGAAGAATTATTCCTTCACTGAGAATTGAGTGTGATTTACTGTTCATCCGGACATGCAATTACCATGCATTTCACGAGCTCTTTCAAGTCACCCAACCGGTCATCTACAGGTTACAGTACAGCAATACTCACTATTTCATGCAATTCATTATCACTTTATCGAACGAAACATCGTAAATGAGAGGACGCAATATCTTGACGTAGAAGATTACTTTACTACCGTGTTGCCCCAGTTATCCCCCGCGCATTAACCTTATTTATTTCGCTTCCCGTAATGAGATTTTGCCAAACCAATCGGGCTAACGGTCGAAGCGTTTCCAGGCAAGTAAATAGGTGAATAAATTCTTATTTATGTAAGATCAAGATCCCACAATAAATCCAACCACAACCACATAGCTTGTAGTCGATTTTTCTTCTACTTTCGATGCCACGGCCTCACTTTGCTTCGATTCTCTCCACTTGAACTTGGAAAGGAAATTGCGGTCGGAAGAAGGTGTAAACCAATTTGTTGGCGCCATTACTGCGGTGAGAAATGCAAGTTCTACTCAATGGTTAACTTTTTTTATGGGCACGTGAGTTTGGTTAAAATTTGCAGTACATAAATTTAAATTTAAAAAAACTCAAGCAAAACGAAACAAGGAAAGATTACAACGAACGCGATATAATCCGTAGTAAAATTCCAGCAATAGTAGAAAAGTAACCAGCATTTGATATTGTATTAATCAACGGGCAATCAAAACCCTACTCACATGTATCGATCGGCACCGTTGCAGGTGCTTCCGGTTCCGCACGGTGGTGCCAGATGGTTACTCGACGCTCGGGTTGCTGCCGCAGCCGCTGCTGCTGCGGCTGCAGCTGCAGTGGTGTGTACCGCGGATTCCCGGGGTCCACTGCGGCCCCACGACCCAAGCAGTGGCTGGTCGCCCGATTTCAGCTTGCTCCGTTCCCGCTTGCGGTCCTTGCGGGACAGATCCATCTCCGAGGTGGTGGCGGACACATGGGAATGCACTGGCCGGGACGTACCCGACGCTGCCAGGCTATCGCGCGACGAGAAGAATCCTTGCTGCGAGATGCTCTGGCCCAGCTGGGTACCGGTCATGCCGAGCTTGGCACTGACGATATCTGATTTCGGTTTAGGGTGGTTGGTTTATGATTTTTTTTTGTAGTTGGTCGTACGCATGGAAAGAGAAGAATAAGAAAGAAACAAGTTTAGCTTTTTTTTTATCGTCATCAGGAGATTCAACCTAAAGATGTAGCCGTATATAAGCTCGAGGAAAAGTAGGTTATGTTTTCCTTTTAGAACACTTTTTTCGATGTAGGTGTAGAAAAAAAAAAATGAATCAACAAAGTAAGGAAGGAAAGAAAAGTGGTAACTTGAGCATAAATTTTATCGACATTGGAAGTAGATGATAAGTTTATGTTTATCCCATGGACGGATTAAACGAAAGCTATCATGATGTGATGCTGGAGAGAAAGTGCTACCGTACCGTCAGGCATAGAAGAGTGGTGGCCATGAGAAACTTTCTTTTGTATAAATAAGCAAGACAATGAGATCATTTTACTTGTGCTTCAACAATAGAAAATGAAAAAAAGCATTATTTTTGAATCATGATCTGCTTCCGATTGATTGCTTCAGCAACCAAGAGTGTATCCAGATTTAGAATTAGGGAGGGGGGTCAAAAAATATGGAGAAATATGTAAGACGCTGATTAGCTGGACATTGTGAATTTGTATAAAAATACAACATGTTTATAAATAATGTATGCAGGGTGCCAGAATCTTTTAAAACTTTACGGATTGTCATCAAGTTTCAAGTTTTTTTTTTCTAGTAGTATTAAAATTAAGTTAGCTTTAAGTCTTACAATACCATGATTTTCCACTCCCGGATTTTTTTAATTTCCCTAGAAAACCCCAACAACATTTTTTTTAATTCTCCCAAGGATTTTCTTATTTGTATCCCTTGATTTGTTTTCCGTCGATCTTGTTTTCCGTGCTGAGTACCAATGCTACCGATGCCAGGGAGGCAGCTTCCACACCTGAACCCTGCCTATCGACCCGTCAAACTCATGAACCGGAGCCCAACAGCCGAAGGAAGGCATGATCAGAGAATATGCCTCAAAAAATTCCAGCTGCGCTGACTGGGTTTGAACCCAGGTTCTTTGGGATGAGAGGAAGTCATGCTTACCACTACACCACGAGCAAAACTACATTACTTTTTTGTTTTATACCAAAATTTGTTCAATAATAAAATATAATTAAAATTTTTACACCTAAATTTTCTTAAGAATCTCAAAAAAAAAACAAGATAGGTATTTTTTAAATCTTTTTCCGTTATTTTTTTGAAAAATCTTGAATTCATAAGTTTAGTTTAATTTTTTTGGGGTGGTGAACTTCTTCTTTTTCACTTAGAATATATTTTGGTACAATTTATACTTGAATAGACCACAACACATGTGCAAAGAGGTTATTGTATTAGAAATATATTAATTAGATAAACAAAATACTGATTTTAAAATTTGACTGGCTTCTACTTGCCTTAACATCTTCCTTTTAATTCATAAGAATAAAGGAGATGTCGTTTACAAATAGTAAGTAACAGTAATAGGGTTTGATTTTTAACCTTTGAATCTAACTATTTGTTGGCGATTAGTTAAATATGACTCAAGCCATTTGAGAAGTCCAGGTTCAATTCCTTTGTTTTGTAATTTGAAAAGAAGCATGGGTATATCAATACGATCAAATGCTTTGCTAAAATCTGTATAGAGTGCTTCCACATGGTTTCCATTATGCATTGCAACCAAAGAATAGTTGACGAATTCAAGTAAATTTGTATTAGTAGATCGTCCTTTGAAGAAACCATGTTGCATGTTAGTGATTCTGTTTTTGATCTGATTGAATAGTTTTTCATTGACGATCGCTTTGAAAAGCTTTGGGATACAGGAAATAATAGCAATTCCTCGGTAATTTTGTATGTCAGATTTTTTGCCACTTTTGAAAATAGGCACTAGAAAAGAGCTTTTCCATGTTTTTGGGAAGATTCTAGAATCTAGTGACATATTGAAAAGCCAGAATAATGGAGCTGTTAGTTCCAGTGCCAGGCTCTTCATAAATACTGGTGGAATTCCGTCTGGTCCAGAGCCTTTGGAAGCATCCAAATTGTTCAAAGTTGCCATAATATCCTGCACATTAACTTGATTAACTTGTTTATCACTAATACATTCTGGGATGAATTCAAAATAATCACGATCACGATCATCTTCTGAAAAGAGGTGTAAATTTCTTGGAAGGAAGTAGCAAATAGATTGCAGATATTGGCTGCGTTGTCAAATGTCATTAAAATGCATTTTTGATGGAAAATTGTCTGATTTTAATTTTTGCCATGGGAGTAAAAAGTTCAAATCGTCTATAAGTGAAAATGCAATAGGAAGTGATCGATGTCAAGGACTTCACCCGCCGTCTAATGGAAATGAAAAAGCGTGTTTGACGTCACACTCGCTGTTGCATGAGAACAGTAGGAGAATGAAAGAGATGACAAATTCACAGCGTAACCATAGGCACGTTATTTCGCCTTTTTGGCTATATATGGTGTTTGTAAGTTCTGATGAGGCCCGTATTACACAGTTCGAAAAAGTAGTGTAAATTTCTGTTCAATATGACGCACATAAATGGAGCGTCACATATCATATACGTTTACATTATACATCATGTAAAGTTCTGACACATTTCATGCAGTGTAGCAAACATTGTATACAAAAGCCCATATTTGTATACAACATTGTTTGCAAGTTGCTCGGTTGCGTGAAATGAAATACAATTCTACGTAAATCAATGTTTACATCACAATTAAAATTCAGAATTTTTATCTGTGTAGCCAAAAAGGCGAAATAACGTGCCTACACAGAAAAAAAAGTTGTTGAATACTCCATCCAAACAGCTGCACAGAGGTCATTCAGCCGGTTGTGTAATATTACGTTTTACGATGTACATCGATTTTGCGAACAAAATTACATCTATTGATGTAAAATTGTATATGTTTTTTGCTATTACATCATTATTTCATACATCAGCTTGAATAACGTTGATCGATTTTACATTTTTTTTGCTGTGTATGGTTACATGGGTGTTCTCTTTGACATAACACAGTGAGTCGAAGAGACGATTCGTCAAAAGTGATATATCAAGGTTTGTATTTAAAGTATGAAATAAAGAATACGCCATCCTAAGAGCCGTAGAGACATTTTTGACGTTTAATCGTCTTTCTCTATCTAGCAAACATGGATGAATGCATGGTTCACACTCGTTCGATTTAAATTGACCAGTAGTGCGCGCCGATTAAACGTCAAAAAGCTCTATGCACTGTAAAGAATTTACCGTCGGCGTGCGAAATCGTAGACCGGTGGCGTGACGATTTCTGAACAATCGGCGTGCCAATAAAATTGTGTCGGCGGTGACGTGGCCCGAAAAGTGGCAGTGGTGTCGGCGTGGAGCGACGGCGCACATCTCTTATCAGAAGTATATTTAAAATTATTGAATATTTTGGGTTTGATGCCAATGCACAATGGTCCCAAAGACGCATTTAGGAAGATAAAAATGTTTGCGCTTAAACCGTTGGTTTTAGGCATATGATGTCTTCGAGAAAGTTTCTTCATATTTTTTGGCCAATCTTTTTATATTAGTAAGATAAGGGTGGAACATAAAATTGGTTGAATTGAAATTGCGAACTTTTTTATTGTTTGAGATAAACCAGGAATGCCATTCTACCCAGTGTCAGCAGGGTGATGAGTTGTAAAGACCCCTCGCACTATGACAAAAGCAAACTCATCCAAGAGATTTTTTTTGTTTTCACTTTCTACCGCTTCTCCCACTTCGCAAACAAATCAAGAGCAAATTTTCATTACGTCGAATGTAACAAAGGTAAACAAAGTCGAGCTATCAGTGTCAATCGATTCTCCTGCTATTACACTACATACTGTCCGAATATAGGATCAAATCCCATTTTTAAATTTATTTACCAGTCGAATTGCTTTTTGACGTAATCACCTTCCGATCAAAATAGTTTTCGATGTTACTTAAGTCACCCAATTTCTATGGAGATGCCGTTTGACTTAAGTAACAGCGCTGAGGAACCCGTGAAAAGTGTACGTTCGTCGTTTCGCTTTCTCATTATTAAAGTGAATAAATCGAACTGTTTGTTGCTAAGATGATTTCGGTGGTTCTAAAATGATGAATGGGCTGCACGTAAGGAGACGTAATTGATAATTCTCCCGAATATCCTGGTAAATACACTTTGACTTAAGTAACAATAGGGGCCACCAAACGACGTATAATAACTTTTGACTCAAAAACCAGTATTTTTTTAGCATGAAAGCTAGCGATTTGCATTTGTATGATTAAAACCCTGCTAAATATGTTAAACATTGCTATCACTATGAGATTATATGTGTTTACTTGGAAATAGGAATAACTTTTCGGTCATCAAAACAAAACTTTATTTTTCTCAGATTGGTGCGAATGTTACTTACGACATAATGAAAATTTGCTCTTGAAATACAGTTTATAACGTTCTCACCTCCACCAGTCCAACACACCGGAGCGTATGAGTGATCACTAGGGAGCAGCGAATCCAAAAAACATAAAGCAACTAACGATACAGACAAAACTGTTGCTACGACTACCATGGCAAACTCGCTCTGTAGCATAGCTCGATCGGAGTGGTAGAAGGATAATGATATATTGTTTGCCTGCTTTGTTCCAATATACATGAATGAGGACATAGCTTGATCTGAATCGAGAAAAGACATAACAAAAAAAATCCCATTAACACACGTGAAACATCTTCGGCTTTATTTCGTGAAGCAGCTTGCCAACAATTTGCTCGTTTCCTTCTACTACTCTAAACTTCAACAGCCACGTCGAAGATGCCTGTGAGAAGGCTGTGTACACTTAAAAAATATTGCAAAACCAATATTGATTTTATTATTAATCAAAATTTAAACATTGGTCCGAACAATATTTTCTTCAAAACTATACTATGTCCGATTATCGGAGTGGAATTCGATCAATGTATACAAAAATGATCCAAAATGACAATGTCAAACACGATGGCACTCGTAGTGGTTTTTCAGTTCACGTTGAATGTGGTAACGTTCTCAAATGGTTCTGCAAACATCGTCCGCTCATTGATCGAAAGAAGCATATAAGCCTGCCGGAAATGGAATCAAAGCCTGTATCGGTTAGCCAATAAACTGCTTATGGATTTGATGCACAGAAATTTCTTCTATCTGTTCGACTTAACGGCCAAAGCGTTGAATATTACCATTCCGGGTAGACCCAAGTTTTAACCGTTTATCGAAGATTAAAACGTCAGGTAAACCTGGGTTTCGATAATGATAATTTTATGGTACTGCTTTTGCTTTAATTACAACTATAATTTAATTATTTAAAAACAGTAATATTAAGCATTACACGAAAAAGCAGCAGAAAATACATTCCCTCGAATAAACCGTATGTATGCATTGCAAGCATATTTAGATTTTATACTATGACAGGCAAAATCATTTTTATACTAATACCAACCTTTGCGTCGGCACGGGGAGTTGCGATTTAGCGTAACTTTTAAACTATTTAGCTTTCAATATTTTTTGAGTGTACGTTGATGTTTTCACTCACTCACGTAAAGTTCTGCCGGAATCATTGGAGAAACAATAACACCTTGGCGCTATCATCTTTCTCATGGAAGTAAGTGTATAAACAGACAAACAATGAACAGTCAACTCTCTCACTCTCTCGTGCTGTGTCTAACAATCTCTCCAGTGGTGCCAGGATAAATCTCTGAGGAGACAAGCAGAGATTCACCCCAGAGAATGATATCTCTCGCACCCGGGTGATTCGCCCGAGAGAATTTTAAACCCTGAGATAAACTAACGCAATGTTCTAAAAAGTTACAGAACAATAAATTTGCAGCAAATTTACCCAAGACACCAAATTTCCATCTCTTGTGGTTCGATAGCTATGATTTTTTCAAACAAGCAGGTTAGGTGGCCCCTGATATATTGGTATTCTATGATTTTCTTTCACACGTTAATTTCTCGTAAAAACGAAATTTTAGACACTTTTAGAGCTTTTAATGGTAAATAATTATGCTGAAACAACCATTAACCAAGTTGCGAACTTTTTTATTCGAAAGTTAAAGGCGATTTTCTTCAATAAAAATGGCACTTTTCAATTGTCAATATCTCTAAAAGAAACAAACCGATTCCATTCGAAAGATCGTTGATTTGTCCATGCACAATGAGAAAACTGCACGAGCAGATTTTGTTAAAATAATTTAATTTATTTTTTTTTTAATTTATGTTTTTATGCAAAAACTGCCATAACTCTTCAAATGAAGAGTTAGTTAAAGACAGTTTCTTGATCGCTTTTGCGAAAATGTGCCCTATCATAAGTTCTAAAAGTGTCTCAAACAAAGTTTTTGTGAGAAATCAATGAATGAAAAGATAATTACAGATAACCTTCATTCTACGGTTTACCCTAGCTTATACATTATAAGACATCAAACATGGCCTACTGGAATGTGTTACAAACCTTATAAAATATTACATATATATGCTTAAAACCAGTGCTGCAAAATTTCGACACTAAAAACTGATAATAACAAAACAACCCTGGTCACTCATTTCAGCAGAGAGTCACCATCAGTAGCAATCAATGTCAATTGTCAGTGATATTACTATCAGTGACGACGATGTTCAGTTTTTTCATTTGCTGAATTACTATCGAAATCAAATTAATTTAGCAAAACAGTTACATAGAACCATCAAAGTGAATACGAATCATCAACATTATCAGCCTGGAGAACAATAATGTGACACAGAATACGCAAATTCACAGTTTTTTCACCAAGGGAATCTTTGTCACTGACAAAGAAAAGAGTGATATTTTGACAAAGGAAATTTTGATTTTCAGTTCTATCAGTGTTGCTGCTGAAATGAATTTTGTCTATATCCACTGAAGTTTTCTCAATGTAAATGACAAATCGCAGCACTGCTTAAAACCAATGGTTCTAGCAAAAACATTTTTGTCTTCCTAAATGCGGCTTTGGGACCATTGTGGAATGTGTGGATTAAAGCTACTCAAAAAGAAGAAATGATTATTTGTCGGAATTATTATGTATAAAAATAAAATAAAATATATTACACTTGCATATTGTTTAAAAAATCTGTAATATGTATGTGTATCAAAATATTTAAAAAAAAATCTGTGTGATTACAGATAAATCTATGTATCAAAATTATGGATCAGCCGGATAAAAGCACTCGGGAACATTTTCCGAACATCACCGAGTTAGGAAAAATACAATCACAACTAAATTGTTTTTTTTTTTTTTTCTTAAATTAAGCTATTTAGTTCAAAGTGATCCATAACTGTGGGGGTTGTGTATTATCGAATAATTAGATGTTATAATGATATTTTTTATTAGAAAGGTTGTTAGAAACGTGTTGTACTCATATAACTTGCCAATGTTGCTTTGAAAGAGTGACAATAAGTGACTCTCATAAAGTTAAATTGGCAGGTTTTATGTATCAAACACGAACTTTACATCCTTTTTATGTGACTTATAAATGTATACAAAATATCATCATAATATTTTATGATTCCATAATCCCATAAAACATTATTCATGCGAGAGTAACGGACAGTAACCCTGTCCATATCCCTTCAAGAACGTAAAATAATTTATCTTACTATCTTAATATCTTCCACGACATTCACCAACGACATCATAAAGTATAATTTCTAGCCGAAACATCTTATCAGCTGTCTTTCCGTTGTCCATTTTACAAAACTACCCAGGCTCATAGTATCACATCACGTATCTTGTTCGAATGTACTCTAGTTCTTCTAAATTTAAGGCTTGCGTCCAATGAAGTCAAATCCATTCCAAAGAATGAGTATGCAGTTTTTGAACCGAAACGACCGGAAACATCGTTATCCATGTAGCCATTCCGGGCGGTGCTTTGTGTGTAGGGCCATTATGCAGCAAAGAATAGAGAAGCAAGCACAACTTTACGCCCTTTGTAACATACGAAATGTTGTGATTACATTAACTCATTCATGTATAATAAACATGGCCCAAAAATAATGTCTAAATTACTGTCCTTTTCATCTACACACAAACACACATACTATAGAAGTGGATGGGACCGTACAGGCTTTGATATGACCGGGCAACATAGCGCAGCAAGGAGGGTACATGTACTGAATGTACAACATAACCATTCAAACACAAAAGGGCAGTGGAAGGGAAGAAAGTGAATGACTAGGTTCAAATGGGGATGGAAACTGATGGGGGTTGTACGAAACGGACACTAGAACGGAAACGGTACTACGTATGTGCGGACACACACACAGGAAATAGGGCAACGAAACCATTAAAAAACTACAACTACCATGATTACACGCAAGCCGGCGACAAGAAACATGTCCACGTCTAGATGGGATGGAAGAAAATTTAAATTTATCTGCCTTAGTTATTTTTATGCTTTTGCCCTCATCCAAGGATCGGGGTAGTTTTAGGACCGAATCTTGACTTTATCGGTCCACCACCGACGCTGGCCAGCTTAGCTGTTCAAATGGAAAGCAATGCGTCCACACATAATCAAAAAAATAAACGAACGTGACAGCAGCAAAAACTACAACAAAATGCTAACGACAAGGACGTGATCAAGGATGGGAGATAATCAGATAATGGCGTCGCGCAAGGATGAGCTGAATCACTTGAATGCGGTAGATTGAAGGGAGAAAGGGTATACTGGTGTGATGGTGTTGACAGACGGTTCAGTGTGTGTGTGTCGGTGTCTGTATGTGAAAGGTAAAGAAAATGGCGAGAGGTGGTAGGGGGGACACGAAGCCACAACACAAGCCGAAACTTACCCATGAGACTTGAACGGCTCACAGAGTTTCGATTGTGTTCCGAGGACGTTTGAATGGTATTGAAGTCGGACCCGACGGCTTCGAGGGGCGGAGGGGCCAGATGCATTATGGCTGCATCCGTTCCGTTGAGGGAGTGCGAGTGATGCCGCGACAGTTTCGAATCGTCAAAACGTGCCTTGCCATCATCATCTAGAATGAGATAAAACAGAGAAAGAGAGAAAGAAAGAGAAAGAGAGCCAATTAGGAACCGATGCTGAATTTACCGATAGTTGATCAAATGATAAAGGATAGCAAATAAATGAACGATCTAAAGACAATTCTGAAGAACACATAACCGACCTTTAATAACCATAAAGTCATCTTTTTGAAAAAAAGAATTAGAACGGCTTGTTTTATAAATGTATAATAGGTGATGCAGAAAACATCCCACGTTATATATGAGGTTTATAGATGTTTTCTTCATACTTCGTAGGTTTCAACATTTTCCAAAATAGTTTTCTTTTGCTTTTATCTTTAGATGTTATTTAAACGTGCCTCAATCGTAGTTGAATTTATAAAGTTCTTGAAGAAATTCTGTACTTTCCAGATTGGCGTGGACATTGACGGGGCCATTGAACCGGACTGTCTCTTCACGTAGTGATTGACAGTTTCTTATGAGGTTTTTTTAGGTTTGTTAGAATGTTGAAAACACTTTTTTATGACATCTCATAAATAGGTACAGGTTTTCTTATAAGGAATTGAACATACTTTTAAATAACTCTCTTGCAATTAAATGAAGGCTTTGCTTCTAACAAAATGTCTTTATCACGGATCGAGCCGTGTTGCACGAGAATATTATTTTCATGCCATTGGCAAGAATATGATAGATACTTATAATAAAACATTCATCAAGCGGAGTTGGTCTAGTTAGGAAGTAATAAATCTACCACGCCAAGGACCCAGTGTTCGAATCCCATACTTAATTTTTTATATTGATTTTTTGGCCCCGTGTTTTATGATGTTTCGAAAACATGTAAATCATCCTGCATACCAGATAGATCGATTCAGCCTTGAGTAAAGTTGTTTAGCTGGACAATATCCGTCTGACAGTGGATATTTTAGCTCAGAATTGATTCGCTAAGTTGCATCAGAGCACAAATAAAGTTCTTTCATTGTTAACTTAGAATCCATATTAGATATAAGTTTCCTGTCTTGAGCAAAGTTGTTCAAATGGACAAGACCCTTTCAGAAGTGAACAGTTTAGTTGAGAATTGACCCGCAAGGCAGAGTAAATAAAGTTCTTCTAGTGATAACTCAGGATCGAGACCAGATAGCAGTTTCCTGTCTTCTGCAAAATTGTTCAAATGGATGTAAAATACTCATCTCATCATCATGAACATTTTAAATGGGGAATTCACATCACAAGGTGGTACCAGATTTCAAATAAAGATCTTCTAGTGATAATCCAGGATCTACACACTTAAAAAAATTCATGTAAATTTAGGTGCTCTGAGACTGACATATACGAGCGTCAATTTTGACATAAAATTGAGTTATAATAGACGCGAAATTCAGCTCAATCAAACGTACTTTTCGTTGAGTAACGAACTTTTCAGTCTCGGAGCACTTAATTTTACATGACATGTTTGTTTACGTCTCATCCTTTATGTCAAAGATAGATTCCGTCACGTGTAAAATTAGGTATTTCTAAGTGTGTAGACAAGATAAAAGTTTCCTCACCAACAAACCGACATGAATGACCTTAGAAGTTACCATGTCATTTTTGATCAATGCTCACTTCTGACATCATGTGCGTGGAAAACTTTAAGCTAAGCCATGAAAACGTGTGTCTGATTTTTTCTGATTCTTGAAATGTGTGTCTGTTTTTTTCTGGACAAATGATTTGTGACTAGATTAGAAAATCCTATGGTTATGATACCATGATTTTTTTTTTTTTTTTTTTTTTTTTTGTAAAAATATGTTTATTGGTCATTTCTTTGCTTATTTAAAATTATTTACATAATTGTATTAAACACCGACTTCAAGGTTGAAATTCAGTTGAAATTCAGTTCATCTACATTGATCCTACCATTACAATTTTCAGCTGATTGACACTGGTGACAGTGGCACTGATGTCATCTGCATATGCGACCATCAGATCAGCTCCACACACTTGTTCTAGTCGCCGTATAAGAGAGTGCAGATATATTACAAATAGATGCATAGAAAGTGGGTCGCCTTGTCTAACTGATCGCTGGATCGGGAAGGGTGCAGAGAGGTGTCCGTTGATCAACAAACACGATGAGGAAGCAGTAGATATACGAGAGAGTAGGTTCACCATTGCCGTGTTGAAGCCCAGGTTTTGCATCGTTTTGAATAAAAATTGCTGATTAACACGATCGAACGCGTGATCAAGATCAAAAGAAATTAGCTTACCTTCCGTTTGCTTTAAGATGAGCGATTCTATCTTTTAGTCCGAGCGTGGCTTGGAATATGTTGCGCCCGGCATTCGAGCACTTTTGTGATCCTGTCAGAACGGAATGAGCACGGAGCACATTTTCAAGACGGTGCTTCAAAATTCGAGATAAGATTTTGTAATCATAGTTGATCAAGCTAATTGGTCTATATGAACCCACGGTGTCCCCCGCACCGCGTTTTTTCACCAACACGATCACCCCATCGACGAACTGGGTTGGAATGTTTGATCTGATGGCTTAATTCAGGATTAAATTCAGTTCGCGGTGAATCACGTCGAAAGCCCGTAGGTAAAACTCCTTCGGAAGACCGTCGGGACCTGGCGATTTTTTCGATGCGCTCGTTCGGATGGCAGAGAGAATTTCTGTTGTTGTGATATCGTCCATACAGGCTTCATTTGCAGCGTCCTCTTCGGGTATGACTCTTTCACATTGGAATCATTCATCTACATCGTCATCTACATTCTCCCGTGTATAGAGATCAGAAAAATACTGAACCATATGATCACGAATCGTATCGGAATTGTTGATTATCTCGTCCCTCTCGTTCCGCAGATGTTCGATGGTGGTTCTCCGTCTTGAACGCTCTCCTAGCTGGAAGGTAGACAGGGGTTCTCCGGCGACAAAGGTTTCGTTTATTTGCACGAACATTTCGGAGAAGCGACGTTGGTGTGACAGCATTTCTGCTTTAATCCGGTTGATGGTGGTGAGCATTGCACGGTTGTTGTGGTAGCCATCATACGCTTGCTGAAGTAGCTCATAGAGGCGTTGTTGCTCTCGATAGAAGTTATTGAAGGCAATTTTAGACTTCCATCGAAAAAAAGATTTTAGTTTTGGTTTCGCCACTGCTAGCCACCATTCTATCCACGAGAGAAAATTACGGCGTTGACGAGTCCAGTATTGCCAACGTATTTGGAGCTCTTCAATGTGTTCGGTGCTAACGGCGCCGGTGGTGTAGTGGTAAGCGTGATTACCTCTCACTCCAGCAGGCCTGGGTTCAATACCAGTCGGCGCCGCCGGGATGTTCTGAGGCATAACATCTCTGCAGTCCTACGATGTGATGTGATGGTGCCGATTGGGATGGAAATTGGTGAAAGCTGGATGACAGGTTGCGCTGTGGAGGATTTTTTTTTGCACTGTAACAGGTACAGTGGGGGGCTGCATCGTGTTTTTCTGTTGTGTTGCTACAGTACGTGACTCACTTGTACCAAGCAGATTTGAAGACAGACCCGAAGCGCCAAGTTGTTCGGATACAAACGAAGCCTTATTCTGCCCAGAATGTGGTTTTCGTAGTTCCGTAGGTTTCTGTGGAGGTTTGATCGGTGTAGGTTTGTTTGTTTTACCTCTCGTAACGTTTGCGTACGATTGGTCTGCGGCAAGCTTCTGCACCAGCAGTTTTTTGTTCTGCATACATGGGATGCCGATGTGTGCAAATTCATGGCAGTGCAAGCAGGTTTGCCGCTGCCCCTTGTAGCCCACCGCAGTTTCTTCGCCCTGAATGGTCACGAGAGAAGGAATGTTTTTCGTAACCACCATACGAGCAACACGAACACCGGTTGCAACACCACCAAAATCACTGTATCGGTCATCCCACAGTAGGTCACGAACACTGATAACTTCTCCGTATTCGGCAAGGAAAACTGCAATCTGATCGTTGGTGACGCCTTCGGGTAGCTCGAAAAACTTCACCTCCACCGCTCCATCCTCCATCGTAATCCGTAGCTTGTAGGACTTCCCATCAAACACGAATTCGTGCTTTCCGTCGTGTTGCTCCACGATCTTCTCGGCTAGTTCGAGGTTGATAACCTTCACGAAGGTATATCCTAGCCGTCTGCTTGGCTGGAGTAGAACCACGTTTTCGCGAGTAAGACCGAGTTCTTTCGCGATGAACTTATGGATCTCGTCATGGGAGAGAAGCTTCGGAAACTGTGAGTAATCGACGCGAAACGTATTCTCGCGGCGAGGCATCGCGGAATATGACGTCGCGACGAGCGCGAACGCGATACTTGATACTTAGAATCTGCCGTTACAGAATTTCGAGCAGAACTTAAATTTAAGTTTCATGTCGGTTTGTCGGGAGATTCCTGTCTTGATCAAAGTTGTTCAAATGGACAAAACCCGTTCAGTAGTGAACAGTTTAGTTGGGAATTAACTCACTAGGTGGCACCAGAGTTAAAATAAAGAGGACAAATGGACGAAACCCGTTTAGCAGAGTACTGTTTAATAGGGAATTGACTGGTTAGAGAGAGAGAGAGAGAGATAGACAGAGTTGTGTACAATTCTTCTTTTGATGATTAACCAGAAGCGTTTATTTCAGATTGATTTTGTTTGCCTTCTGCAAAGTTGTTTATCTGGATAAGATAATTACGGCAGTAGACAGTTTAGCTGCGGATTTATTTGTTAGGTGACGCCAGAGTAATTCTTTTAGTGATAACTCAGAATCGTAGCCTGATAGACGTTTTCTGTTTTCATTTATTCATAAATATTTTTCAAATAGTAAACAGATCATAATTGACTCGTTAGGTGATAAATTAAGATGCGTAAAATGATTTTTTTTTTATAGAATCCATTGCGTGAGATTTGCGAACATCTGTCTTTTTCTTGTTTTCAGTATAGTAAAGTAGCTCTTATTTACTTTGCAAATTTAATTATTCTCTTCAACTATTCAATATTTACTTAAATCTATTTGCCACGATGCTTATTATTCATCTATGAAAAGTGGCTTATTTTCAAATA